ACGATCAGTATAAAATGAACTTCTCCTCTCTGGGATCCTGTTCAATACATAAATGTACTAGTGCAACTAATCAGTCAAGACAAACTGTACAGTTGACACTACAACCGTTCGGATGGGGTGTTCATGTCCATCTAGGTTGTGAACAACTATTCTTGTTCGCAAGTGACTGATAGAGTGATCTTCGGTTCGCCCGATGACGACCCACCCTATCTAAGTGCAGAACAACAGAACGTAGAACTTGTTTAATCTAACATGATTCTCATTCATAAAGGGTAAATGTGTAATAACATGCAAAGCCAAGCTTTCAGTATATAACACTAACAACCCGGTGTTCGAATCTTTCGATTCTACTCCGGAAAAATATCTACAACATCGTCTATATTTTAGAAAAAATATTTAATATTTTTTTATTTGTTAATTCTATTTTAAAATCCATAAATAATATATATATATATTAAACAAATAATATCATCATAAAAAATATGTCAAGTTTAAGCATAATAATACAATTTTTGGCATTAAATTAAGTGAAATCGACATTTTCTTACACTTATTTACAGCCTAATAAAGATTAAAAGATATCATAAATATTAAAATTGTTCTTTACATTTGTTGTTAAGTTGTCTGTTTAAATAATTATTATATATAAAAAGAATAAATTCAAACTGTAATTTGTAACAAAAAATTCAAAAATTAAAATTGTAATTTGCAACAACAAATTCAAAACTTGTGAAAGAATTGTATATATATTAGTCATGTTTATCTCTTATTATTTATTAAAAAATAAACTAGTGTGTTATTAAGAAATAATGAGGATATATTTCTTTTTTCTTAACACTCACTAAAGTCTTTTTAAAAAATGTTTCGAATAAAAATAATTTAAAGTAAAATTTTCTACTTACTTTTTTAAGCAGATTCATAACATTTAAATATATAGATTGTGTAAAGTCACACTAAATTTGTACATAGTAAAGTATTTGATATAATTTAGTTAATACATTTAAAAGCATCTAAAATATTATATTCTATTCTTGATCTAGAAGTATCTAAAATATTATATGCTATTTTTGAATGGTATGTATTAAATTTTATCAAAGGTTATCTATTAATGTTAAGTGTCATCCATGTTATAAATAAGCAAATAGTTTTTGTTATACTGCAAATTATATAATAATTGTATTAAATATATTTTATTAGTTTATACTTTAGTTTGTTTTAAATATTTTTTTGTAAAGCTTGTAAAAGGTAATTTTGTAATATTAAGACGATATTATGGTAGTCCAACTTAGGTGAAGGTGTCAACTTTCTTTATGATGCGTAGCTAGGATACCTTGTAGGGCTCTTGAGAGCCTGGAGGGAGGAGCCAGAGAAATAATATTTATGGCTGTGGTGTCGGTGAAGACGGCACCGGCGGAGCTCTTGCAGTGGCCTTAATACAGAGATTTAGAACACAAAATAAAAGTGTATAATAAGAACGATTGTGAGAAATATTGCACCGTGAAGTTAATAATAAAAATGTATAACTCTCTTGATAACCATATGTTACGGGACATGGGCCTTCTTTGTCTCTCAAGGGAAAGGCTAGTCCTGAAACTTCTCTTTTTTCTCAAACTAAGAACAATAGTGAGAAATATTGTACATCATATTCAAACATGATCTCATTTTGTAAAATTTGTCCTCACATATCATTTAAGGAAAGGTGAAATCCATTTTCTTGTTCAGAACCATACAGTTGATCTCATTCCTCTCTCAGACGAGTACATCTAAGGAAAATATGAGGAATATAAAAGCTATGGAATCTACAATCTTAAGAATATTTGTCATGTGTTCAATTGTAGTGATAGGAGTTTGCATCTCTCAATCTATTTTGTTTTCAGTAAGATATATAATCTATGAAAACTATATTGTGGTAACTATTGTTAGTTCTATTTTGTGTTGTGTATGAGATAAACTCAAACTATTTGTAGTTCTATTATGTCTTGTGTATGAATAATAAACTCATGATGTCTATTCTGTCTCTGTAGTTAAGTAGCTATCTTATAATTTGGATAAAGTTGCAAGAAATTTGACCCGGCCCGGATGCAAACTATTGAGTGAGGAGTTTTTATCATTTTATTATTGACAGGGCATATGCTGTTGCGGGTAGGTACTATCCCATTGTCTTATTGTGTTTGCTTATTTTTTTAGCATGGATCTTTACTTTCCACCACTCATAGGTGAATCTGTAATAAGTGTATTCATTTTATTACAATGATCTCTCGTGATGTTTGATTTTCTTGGCTCAACTCAACTGTTAGTTCTGTTATGCATGATAATCAAATAAAAGCAAGTTATTCTAGTATTTTGGTAAAGAAAATCTCTTTAAAAAATATTTTTCTTCAATGTGTTATAATAAACACTTTTTCTTAGTAAAATATATATCCGTAATTAAATTTTCGGAAAATGGAACGGAAACTTTACACGTACTAATTATAAAATATTAGTGATTGCGGGTAAATGAGACTTTTTTTTAACAACAATTGTTTAGAAAGATAATTTATGAGTTGCGCTAGTGTAAGGGATGGGGATTAAAAAATGTTTAGGCCTTGTTTGGCGATCAACGAATAGCGGATAGCGGATTATATTAGTTGATTTAACGATTGTATTAGTAGTTTTTAAATAAGTGTTTGGTAAATAGGTGAAAGCTTATAGCTATTTGACATTTCAAAATGACCAATAAGGACATTTTATTATTTAGGGTGTATTCTTTTAATAATAATATATTAAAACATTTAATATTCTTTAGTTGGTAATTTATAAATATATATATTTTTTTTTTTAAATTTACTAACACTTGATGAAAAAGTTATGAATTTTACATTTTTCTAGATAAATTAATCATATGGATGATAAATTATTATTTCTTAGCTCTATAAACCAATGTAGATTGTAAAATAAATAAGACAAATTAAAAAGTTCTAAGTAAAACCTCTCAATTGTGAATCCTCTATCCCAAAAAGCTGCTCTAATGAGTTTTTTCTAAATTAGAATTTTTGACCCAAATAGCTTATCAAATAAGTTATTAACCAAACAAGCTCAATAGCGGATTTGACGGGTCAAACCTCTCAATTAAGTCCAATCCGCTATCCAAACGGGGCCATTTAATCATATAAATCTGAAACCATGCAAAGATAAAATAATTAGGAAACTAATTGCTGACATAACATAATGCTAGTTTAAGGTGTGATTAATTAACTTTGGATTTCAAACTTAAATTAGTGAATCTCAATTATTTAGTCGAGATTTTTCTTACTATTTGAATAAATTCTTTATCTTTTCATATATTATTTGTATGTTAATAAAGAGAAGGTTCGCTATAAAAAAATATACAGAAGTTTTCCCTGCTTTNAGAAGAAGACTACTTCTATAACCTTTATAAATAATAATAATGACATTATATGACAACAAATATTATAATAAAATAATAATTGACTATTAAATAAATGGTGAACAAGAATAAACATAAATTTTATTTTTTTTCTTATATCGATGGATAAATATATGTTGCAGAATCAAATTTATATCAATATAACGTGTTAGCAGAATGATATATTAATAACATGTCAACGTTATGACTAAAATAAATATCATTGATTGAATAGATTGAAAAATTAATGATCCAACCCTATTACTTTTTGCCAAAATCGTACAAGCCATATAGATGACTCAATTAATATATGTGTCCCGTGCATCGCACGGGCTATGCACTAGTTGTTAATGATAAGAAACCTCATTAATCTACATCTATATCCATATATGTATTATTAATGAAAAAGTACATTAATCAATTAAATAACTTTTTTGTCTTTTGTACTACTAAATAAGTAAATATTTTGATCATATATATAACTCAATACTTATTGATAATTTTACCAACTTTTTTCATATAAATAAGAAATTAATTATTTTTGTATTTTTTTTAGCACTCATATTGAGCATATAAAGCTAAAAAATATTTTACTATATATATATACATATATGCAATTATTTTTTTCAGTAACTTATAATTAATATATTTTATATTAGCATATGTTAAACGAGTTTTCATATTCCAATATTGCAACATGGCCCAAATATATTATGGTAACAATTTTATTAAATGACAACTCTTTTTTTCATTAAATTCTTTTAAAAATTAAAAGGAAAAATATTATCACGTATGCACTTGGCTTATTGAGTTTTTAAATTTTTTTAGAAAAAATAAAATCTTATAATATCAACAAGAAAGAAAAAAATCACATATAAAGATGTTATATGTAATAGTATAGATATGTGCAACAGTGATTTTTAAACGTAACTTTACAATTTTGTTATAAATTAATTTATTTTGTTGTGTGCCATCATAATATATTAATTTAATATTTAATTTATTGGTAACTAATGTTTCGATTATAACTAATACTAATAATTTAAGAATTAATCAACAAAAATATAGATATTTTTAGATAAAAAAGATTAATTGTCAACATATATATAATGAGTGTACAACTAAATTTTCATAGTAAACATTAATTTAATTAAATATATATATAATATATAAAAATAAACCGCGAGACACATTATATATTATAATATATATATATATATATATATTAAAAAAATAAAAGCTTGAGACTCAACGTAACAGTAATAGGAGTAATATTTCCTATTTCACATAGAAAGGCTTCACTTCCTGTTTTGGCCAACGATAAAAGCAAAATATTGAAAAGAGATAACAGTGATTTTTCAAGCAGCAGTTTCTATCGGAACGATTTTGGTTGTGGTTGGGTAGGCTTGGATTAGATTTTTTTTTTGTTCATCCTTTTTTTGCCTTTTTTGCCATAAGGAGGATAATTCACAGGTTAGTTTCTTTTGATTTTTTTTAATTGTAAAATAATTTGAATATATATTTGTTGTTTATAACTCACTGTAATCTCCTTTATGACTTTATGTTGACGTTGAAGTTGGTGCTGTGTAGAGAGATGAAGCGATTACGGGACGAGGAGTATATGAACCCTCAATTTAAGCGGCCGTTCGGTGCTTCACGTGGCGAATTGTAAGTATCCTTTTCAGGTTATACTCATTGGGAATTGTTTTTTAAGTCGAGTTATTTGCTGGCCTTTTTTAGCTTGGATGTTCTGAATGTGAGGTATAGGTGTTTGTGCATGTGTGTTTATTGAAACCGTGTCTGGAATCTCATACGATTCATTTAGTTTTGTTTAACTGTGAGTTATTTGATTTGAAGAAAATCTTTTGATCAGAATACAGCGAGTCCCAATTCATGTAACAAGGTTGCAGAAATTGATAGGAGGAAGACAAATGAATTAGGTTTTAGTACTGCTTTTAGGGTGTCCAGGTTGTTAAGGGAAAGAAAGTTTGGATCTTTATGTGCCTTACCTTAATTATTTTGTTGTTTGGTTGTAAGAGTAGTCTCTCTCTCTCTCTCTCTCTCTCTCTCTCTCAAGTCCAGTGTTAGTTGTGTTAGGTGACAACTGGACAAAATACGGTAATCATTTTATTTGCTGCTAGAGGAGGATGTTTGTTTTATCTTGTAGGTGCTAGTGTCACATTAGTAGCCTATGGTAACACAATTTGCTTGAAGCATTTGCAATAGGAATGAGTGGATTAAAAAAGATGAATTCTTTACAACATACAAGGCCATGAAAGAGAGAACCAAGAACAACTTTTGCATGAATGGACTAGCAGGCTAACTGTTGCATGGAATTGTTCAATACTGGTTTTCCGAGCTATATGTAATTGTTTCTTCTCTCATTTTAATAAAAGGTATGCGCCATCACAATCTCATAGTGCCAATGGAGGTGGAGAAGTTGGTGTTGAAAGCGAGAATGGTGGTATTGGAGTTATCGGTAGTGGTGCAGGTGTTGTTGCTAGTAGTACACAAAAGCTTACCACTAATGACGCATTGAGTTATTTGAAGCAAGTTAAGGACATGTTCCAAGATCAAAAGGAAAAGTATGAAAGCTTCCTTGATGTCATGAAGGATTTTAAGGCTCAAAGGTAAATAAATATGTTGGTATGATCATCTTTGACAGACAGATCTGAAAATAAGTGATATTATTTTCTTAAAAGTCTTTCTTGTTTCTCGCAGAATTGACACCGCTGGTGTCATAGCAAGGGTAAAGGAATTGTTTAAAGGCCACCCGAATCTAATCCTAGGTTTTAATACATTCTTGCCTAAGGGTTACGAAATTACCCTAACCGATGAGGAAGAGGCTCTGCCAAAAAGGACAGTTGAGTTTGAAGAGGCCATCAGTTTTGTTAATAAAATTAAGGTAGGGATTATGTTAACATGTGTGATAAATGAAAATGGGTGGTTGAATTTTGATTCTGAGGAAGTTCAGTAACAACAATTTGTCCTTACTTTGTTTATGTGCAGAGACGATTTCAAAAGGATGATCATGTTTATAAATCTTTCCTAGATATCTTGAATATGTATCGGAAGGAACACAAGAGTATAACTGAGGTCTACCGAGAGGTATGTATCTCTCCTGTACACAGTGCCTCATTTTGTTCACTCTATTATATGAGGTTTTAATGTATACTTTTGCAGGTTGCAGCACTTTTTGATGACCATCCTGACCTTCGTGAAGAATTTACTAGATTTTTGCCCGATACTCAGGCGGCTGCTTCGACTCCGTATGCTTCAACACGTACGGTAGATAAGGTTCGTTTCTGCATTTATTCATTTGATACAGCTCTTTACGATTTGTCGCTTACATCTGAATTTTTTGTATCTCTATTTGCAGAGATTACGGAGGGACAGTATTATGGATCCAAATGAAGAGCGGGATCCTAATATAGCACGTGCGGATATGGATGATGATAAAACAATAACGAAGCTGTCCAAAGAGCATAAGAAGCTTACTGAAAAAGAAAACAGAGATAAGATGAATTGCTATCTGGATGGCAGAGATCCTGATATGGAGAAGAAGCCGTCTGACAAAAAGAAGTCTGCTCTGAATGTTGAAGACTTGGGTGGGGCACCTATTACCTCCTTTGATGATAAAGATGCATTAAAAAGTCAGTTAACAGTTCCTTGATTTGCACCTGTAGTGTAGGATAACTGTCTGCCATTCGCACCATACCTTATTTTTTCTTTTCTATTTCCCTCCTGAGAAATAAGAATTGGGTATGTTACCTGGTATTAGTTCTGTGCATTGCGGTAAATAGGATTATATAAAAGTTTATATCTCACATATTGTGTTGGAACAATCGGATTCCTTAATCTCCACATGACATTAAGAATAAATAAAATAAGAAAGAGAAGTAATACTAGTGATAGAAGGTTGGTAGGGAGCAAGGCCCCCTCTTTTGCGCTATTGATCTTTCAGCATCTATATTTGTACATGCACTGCATCTCTCTATTTTCAATTTGGTGCCTTCTGGTATTAAGTTCTGTTTGATCTTGGCAGGTTCGTACAACTATGAGTTCTCTTTCTGCGATAAAGTTAAAGAGAGGCTGCAGAGTGAAGCTGATTGCCAGGCATTTTTAAATTGCCTTCAAATTTACAGTTCAGAAATCATTACTAGAAAAGAACTGCAGAGTCTGGTATGAGTGTTGAACCCTCTATTAGACTGTTTAACATCACTTGGATTTTTGTTTTTGGGTACCAACTACCAATGTATGGATTAAAAGTGTTTGGGGCTTCATTATCCCGTACTGCTATGGGATTCAGCTGAAACTTATACCTTTCATGTATCTCTTATATTATGTGCTTTCAGGTTGCTGATTTACTTGGAAAATATCCAGATCTTATGGAGGGTTTCAACGAGTTTTTGGAGCGCTGTGAGCGAATTGGTATTCATCGATTTTCACTTTGCAAAGTCGTATTTCTTCTATTAACTTTCTACTCACAACTTATTGCTTATTTTTCAGATGGATATCTGGCTGGTGTTGTGAGAAAAAGTACGTACATTTTGCCACATATTGTTCTTTCCCTTAATTCCTTAAAAATCTCAATTTTGTGAACTCATGTGAAGTGCTGCTGACCATCCTCCAACTCCAGTTTTCTCCCACTTCTATCAGAAAGACCAGTTTTTGGATCCCTGATGTGATAAAACCTGTTTTTGTTACTGACAGAAACATTAAGGAATGAAGGGAATTCTTCAAAAGCCCCTAGAATAGATGAGAAGGAGAAAGAACAAAAGCGTGACTTGGAAGGAGGGAAAGAGAGAGATGGGTGCAACTTAAAATACTTGGGAAAGTCCATTCAGGAGCTTGACCTATCTGATTGTCAACAGTGCACTCCTAGCTATCGGCTTCTTCCTAAGGATGTAAGAGTTCAATATAGATATTATGAAAAGCATGTTAAGAAGCATTATTTGATTACCTAGTACACATGTCCATTCGTTGCACTTTTTTTTTTTAAAAAAAATAAAATTATTTCAGTTTGTCAAATATCTGTGCTTCCAATATGTACTAAAATGTAATATTATTAAATGTAAGTTAAAACCATAAAACTTCTTAAATAAAAATATTAATAAATTATATTTTAAATAAAAGGGGAATATAAAAATATATATTTTGTATATAAATGATATTTTCTCAACATGTCTCATTCTTAGTAATTATCACCTCTCATGTTCATGATATGGAACAGTATATGAATACAAATACAGAAGATATTTCGACTTGTCAAATATTTAATTGTCAAATTCCATAATTAGAGTATAAAAAATGGGACGATATTTAATCTGAGTTATCAAATCAAATAAATAAATAAACCTTCCAAACAAATGAATTTTGACTTGCTCAATTTATTATAAAATGTTTTTGGCAGGAAAAAACACCACTTCTGGATTTTGAAAATGTATTATTTATTACTAAACTGTCTTGGCTCTTTGCAGTATCCAATATCTTCAGCTAGCCAGAGGTCAGACCTTGGTGCTCAAGTTCTAAATGATCATTGGGTGTCTGTGACATCTGGTAGTGAGGATTATTCTTTTAAACACATGCGGAAAAATCAGTATGAAGAAAGCCTGTTCAGATGCGAGGATGATAGGTACATATTCTTGATTTTTGGTTTTCTGATTCTTTGGGTCATATACGCCTGAGCTGTTTGCTAATTCTGTGTCCTTTGGGTTCAGATTTGAGCTAGACATGTTGTTGCAGTCCGTGAGTTCAACTGCTAAGCGAGCTGAGGAGCTTTTGAACAGTATCAATAATAATTCAGTTGGGTCAGATGGTCCCATACTAATTGAGGAGTACTTCACAGGTTTGTAGCATTAAAATCTGGTCGTACTCCTGATGGGGATTTTCCATTTTTCTCATTCCTTTTCTTTTACAGAATGTTGCACGTGTATTAATAGTTGAAAGAATTGACTCTCTTAATTCATACAGCTCTTAATTTGAGATGCATTGAACGAATATATGGGGAACATGGTCTTGATGTGATGGACATTCTGCGTAAAAATCCACCACTTGCTTTGCCTGTTGTCCTAACACGTCTGAAGCAGAAGCAAGAAGATTGGACCAAGTGCCGTTCAGATTTTAACAAGGTTTGGGCTGAGATATATTCTAAGAATCACTACAAGTCTCTCGATCATCGCAGCTTCTATTTCAAGCAACAAGATGCAAAGAAGTTGAGCACAAAATGTAAGCTGAAAATTATAGCTGTACTTTGTGTAATGTTTTTTATCTTGTCTGTTTGCCCTCTGATTTCTGATTTCCTGTTAGTTACCCTTTATCTTTAGTAAGCAGCATCTGTCTAGTTCACTTTATTCTTCACTTGGTCTCACTCTCTGTTTTTGCTCAGAAATTGATAATGTTTTTGGATATTTTATTGTCCCATAACTGCGTACCATGTAATGATTCAATGATTTTTAACACTTCTTTTCTCTCTACCCTGATTTTGTTTCTCATTTTCTACCATCCTTCCAATGAGCAGCCTTAGTGGCAGAAATCAAAGAAATCAAAGAGAAAAGGCGGAATGAGGATGATGTGCTTCTTAGTATTGCTGCTGGAAGGAGGCATTTTGTCACTTCTGACCTCGAATTTGATTATGCTGATGCTGATGTTCAAGAAGATGTATTTAAGATTATCAAGTACTCCTGTGAGGAGATCTGTTCAACAAAAGATCAATATAATAAGGCTTTGAGGTTTTGGACTACTTTTCTTGAGCCGATGTTGGGTGTTCATTCTCATCGCAATGGTTTGGAGACTAATGGAGATAAAGATGTCTCTAAACGCCAAAATAACGAAAACAACACTGGTGTAACAGAAAGGGAAACTAGTGCAAATACCGATCTTACCACCACAAATTTGAAGCTAGCAAAGTCTAATTGCAATGGAGATTCTAGTTCATCACCTCAAAGAATAAATTTCAGAACTGGTTTCACGAATGTGGGCAGTTCGGCTAAAGAAGGAATAGCAGTGGCTTCTGGTGAAAGATTAACCAACCCAGATGCAGCTGTTACTTCAGGATCAGACATTAATCACGGTATGCATGGCATTGATTCTGACTAAATTTTTTTATGACTGACGATGGCCTAATTGTATTGACCATTTT